CATTCGTGTTTCTGTCGTCCTATGAATGTCCGTGTCTAGTCATATGGTATGGTCTTCTACCTCGTATTGCGGGTCTCTAGACGAAGCCCAAATCTATGTCCTGCTCTGGATTTATTGTAGTGAGTAGTTCGGTTAGCATTGTCTGATTGATCTGCCATGATCTTGCGTTCTTCGGTGCGAACTTTTCCTTGTTGTTTAATATTTTTTTTATGAACTTGTTTTTGATTCTGTTCTTGGCTTATGTATTGTTGCGCTATTCTGGGATGTATTTTGCTTTTATGGATTAATTTTTTTCATTTCTATTGTGTGCTTCATGTGTTCTGTTTAAGTTCAGAAGGTGGGATCGCCCGGGGGTGGAGTTTTACTGGGTGCCGGTGTGTGGGTTTTCGGTGGGTTTGGCACGCCGTTGATGATGCCGCTTATGGGGGGGATGATGATGGGGGGGTTGATGGGGGCGGCTGCCTTTTGAGTTTGAGGTGAGGGGGGTTGGTGTTTGTTCCGTTCATGTTAGAAACATAGGTATTGACAATCGTTGGGTTTAGCAGCAGTGCTATGCAAAGTGATCTAAAGACTTGGGGGTTGGGACGCTTAGCACCATACAGCCCCCGGCGTTCTTATTATCATTTAAGTACTGCTAATTAGAAGTGCAAGTCTATCCCGTTGACGGCTGATTTCTTTCCCTCTATTCCAGTTAGGCGGCTCCGTTCGGCACCCAGCCGGGCTCAGCCAGTTCAAAGCCGGTCGGATCAAACCCCGGCGCAACTGGAAAGCGGTCAGTATCCAGGAACATGTTAACATCCAACAGAGAACAAAACTCAAAACCTACCAGTTGTCCCAACAAGCGTCCAATCCCCCCAACTCCTCGCCCGCTGCCACTCCCACTTGCCAATGGCCAGCTGCGGCTGTTGCCCAGCAAAGACGTCCGGGCCCAGCTTGACCTCGCGCACCGGCGATCCATCATCGCGAGACAGCGACAGCGTGAGTGGCGCCCCGGCGTAGTAGTGCCACACCTCGACGGCGTCGACACGGTGCCAGTGCGAGTAGCCCTCGCTCCCTTCGAGGAGGTAGTAGATGGCCGTGCTGATGGCAGCGGCTGTCGGTTACGTTGTCCGTGTCGCGGAAGGTCTCGACGTAGTAGCCCTTTTCGACGTTGGGGATGAGGTTGAGCTGGGCAATCACTTCCTGGGCTGTCCGCTTGTTGATTGGAGCGGGGTGGTGGTGAGATTGGCTGTGCTCAGACGCGCTCCGGATTTCCTGAGAATGCGGCGGCTGGGCGACCGCGGCATGGGATCCGATGGGGATGGATAAGCCGAGGGCCGCGGCGAGCAGGGAGGAGAGGCGTGCCATAGCGGCTGGGACGAGGGGGTCACAGGCTGCACCGTGAAGCTGTTGGTCACCAAGGCCAAGGCGTCACATAATCATCGTGGAACAAAAATTCGGGTGGGCTGTATTTATGCCCAAACTGTTCGGCGGTGAGACCGTAATCCCCGTGGCGCCCGTCGCCCTGGGCCTTCCTTCGTCTTACATGTCGATCCATGGCAAGCTGCGCCACATGGCGACAGGCACGCTTTCTGACATTAGGCCAATGATTGCTAATACGAACTGACTCGCGAAAAGGGTTCCATGCGCCGACAAATAAACGTCGTGGCCCCAATTCGGCAAAGACGCAATAGGAAAGGTTTGGGTGTTGTTGGAAAGCCAACAGCTACGAAATGACTGAACTAAGGTGATTTGGGTGCCAAAAGGTGATGAAAGAGGGGCAACCAGTTCATTGATGATGATGTCTGTGTCTCTGTGTCTCTGTCTTGTTCCCACTGCCGCGGGCCTCGCCCTGACCCTGAAAATACTAATGCCCAGCCACTAGTGAACCCCTGAATTGCCCCTCCTCACCGCCTTCCCAATCCAACAGGTGTCAAGCGTGGATGAAGCCGATAATTGCACGTGTGAACCCTCTCAGGGGCTCAGACAGGGCGTGCAACCAGACGACCAAGAATTGACCAGGAATTGAGAATGAAATTATGTAGGTATCTAGGTGCATACAGCATTAAGGTGCCACCTGTATATCCCAAGGTTGTATGTCATCTCTTGCTGAAGACCCCTTGCATCCCTCATTGGCCCTCAATTTCCCAAGAATACGTCGGGAACGGGAGCGCGCCGGTTGGCATGACGGATGTGATGAGTGGAATGTCGTCGGCCCCCGTGGACGTCGGCGGCGGATCCGACGGGTCCGGCTGGTCCACAAACACAGCCAGGTCGATCGCCCACTCGACAAACCCGCCAAAGTTCAACGCCTGGAAACGCTCTACACGGGACGCCTTGGTTTTTAAGCGACCCAGGTGTCGCTACCGTACGTCATCATGTCCGAATCACTCGCGGCGTCGTACCACGACGAGTAGCCGGGTAGGTTGAGTGACAGGGCCAGCTCCAGCTCGCCCTGGGAGATGTACCCGGCGGTGTTGGTACAGACGCTTGGCCGGGCACCGGCTTCGGGTCCGGAACCCGGTACTAACCCTAATATGCAGCTGCTTTTCATGGGCAACAAGAAGTTTCCGGATGAGCATGAATACAAACGATATATATCAAACCATTCCGGGTCCGCCAACGCCTATACGATGGCAAATTCCACGAACTTTCACTTCGAGGTCTCCGCCAAACCCGACAACGGAGAGGCGCCTTCGGTGACGAACCCCTCGCCGTTACTGGGGGCCCTGGACCGCTTCGCTCAATTCTTCATCGGGCCTCTATTTCTTAAAGACACACTGGACCGTGAGCTGCTGGCCGTAAATTCGGAGCACCAGAACAATCTGCAGAGTGACAGACGGCGTTTAGCGCAGCTGGAAAAGTGCCTGTCAAACCCCAAAGATCCGTTTTGCCATTTCTCTAGCGGCAATCTCGAGACCTTGAAGATTGCGCCCGAGGCTCAGGGCATCAATGTGCGCGACAAGTTCATCGACTTCTATGAGAAGCACTACTCGGCGAACCGGATGAAACTCTGTGTTCTTGGACAGGAACCGCTCGATATTCTCCAGACTTGGGTCATCGAGCACTTCTCGGCCGTCAAAAACAAGAATCTCGCCGCCAACAGATGCGAGGAAGCACTTTTTACCGAGGAGCAGCTTGGAATCCAGATCTTCGCGAAGCCCGTAATGGATATCCGAACTCTCACCCTCACTTTCCTTTTCATTGAACAAGAATATCTCTACGAGTCCCAGCCAGGCCAATACATCAGCCATCTTATCCATCACGAGGGCCCTAGAAGCATCATCTCGCACCTCAAGTCGAAAGGCTGGGCGAACGAGCTCAGCGCCACGGCCAGGCCAATTAGCCCCGGCAGCCCAAATATTTTTGCGTGTGATATTTCACTGACAGAAGAGGTATGGGGCAATTTCCCTTCGCGATGAATAAAAAGATAGTTTGCTACCCCCAGCGCCAGGGACTCGAGCGCTACAAGGAAGTTGTCACAGTTGTTTTTGAATACATCGCTCTCTTGCGCGAGACTGAGCCGCAAGAGTGGATCTTCGAAGAGCAAAGAGCCATGTCCGAGGTCGACTTCAGGTTCAGGGAGGAGATGCAGTCTTACCAATTCACGAGCCAGATCAGCTCATCCATGCAGAAGCCGCTCCCACGGGAGTATCTGCTGAGTGGGGTACCTTTTGCGCAAGTTCGGCCCAACACTGATCAAGGAAGGCCTCGACTGCCTGCGACCCGACAACTTCTGTGTGACGAACCTACTTCAGGACCCTGTCCTGTTAGGGTTCAGCTTCGGTTGAAGGTAATCTCTCAAGGGTGCTTAGGTTCGGTGCAGCCAAAGGGTGCACAACAAAGACTTGTCTCAACAGTACCTAGGCTTCCGAGCTTGTAGCGAACTGTAGTTGTGATTGCTAACAGGAGAACTCCCAGAGCTCTCCAGAACGAGTGACTATATACTATCTAGGTTTTCTAGGTACCAGCGTACCTTTTGTTGGGAACGTGAGGAACGGTGATCGTTCTTCTCGTTCCATACTGGATCCTGGGAACGGGAGCCGTTCCCTCCGTTCCTCTGCTGATTGGTCTGAGACCCATTTTAATGATTGGCTGGGAACGCTTCCCGCGCGCCCCCCATCGGGGCCCTGCATGCGGCCATATCCGTGACCAAGGCTCCTCACAAATCAAATAAGACCCCCTATTTTATTTGGTTGGCTTGGCACGCCCCAATATTTTATTTATTTGGCTAGGTTGCATATTTATTTGGGTATTTGCCAAATAAGCCAAATACCCATACATAACCCTAACCCTGAACCACACCTCGTTTTTCAGGGGCGAGCATTTGCATGCACCCACACCCGCACTCGCACCCGCACCCAGGCTGGGCCAGGCCTGGGCTGGGAACTGGCTGAATCGTACAAAAATGCAATAAAATTCAGAACTGGCCAAATATATTTTTGGCCCATTTAGGCAATTGCCGGCCTGCACCGCCCGCGCGCCCGCGCATCCATCCACCGGCCTGCATGCCCAGGACATCAAGATCACCGCCCACGAAAACCACCGCTTCAGACCTCTCTCTTTCCCACCCAATTCTGGTGGGTGCGCGGATGGATGCGCGGGCGGTGTGGGCTGGCAATCTCCTAATTGGGCAAAAAATATATTTGGCCAGTTCTAATTTTTCTTGCGTTTTTGAACGAATCGGCCAGTTCCTCGGCCAGGGGTGCGAGTGCAGGTGCCAGCCTTGAAAGAAGACGGTCTCGACGGTGTAGTCTGGGGTTAGGGTTATATATGTGTGTGGAACCCATTAATCTTGGCAAATAAGTCAAATAAGCCAAATAAAGCTTGGCAAATGTGGCCCTTTATTTGCCAAATATAGGGCCGTATTTGGTTTGGCTTATTTGCCAAGTATTTTATTTGGTTGCGAAATATTTGATTTGTGAGGAGCCTTGTCCGTGACACCAAGGCAAGAGGTAAATGGTGCAGCGAGAAAGAGGGAAGAAGTAGGGGGCTTGTACGAGTTAAAGGCAAAACGATTTGATACGGATGTAGTTAGCGTACTAAGGCCCTATAGGCCCAGTGCCTCCGGGCGAAATAAATTCCATCCATCCATATCCGTGACATACATTGTCTACTCGGGCACCTGGACCAGCATCACGCAGTACGGATTCTACTTTGTCATTCAGAGCGAGAAGACGGCACCGTAACTAGAAACTCGAATTGAAGAGTTTCTGAAGACGGTAGCCACAACACTCGAAGAAATGAGCGAGGAAGAATTCGAGAGCAACAAGCGCAGCATTATCGGCAATCTTCTCGAGAGACCCAAGCCCATGATGACAGAAAGCGACAGACTCTGGGACCAGATCTACTCCGAGCTCTATGCCTTTGACACCGGTAAGTTCATACAATACCACTCTTTCCCTTTATATGATAGTAAGACTAACCGCTCTCTTCCTGTCCAGCTCCCCAGGACGCGGATCACATCAAGCTGCTCACCAAGGCAGATATGGTCAACTTCTTTATGGATTACATCCACCCCACCTCGCCGTCGAGAGCGAAGCTTGCCGTCCATCTTGAGGCGAGCGGCGTGTCAACAAAGGACGCCAAGCTACCGTCGGCGAACGGAACGACCCCGGTCTTCATCGAAGACGTCCGGTCCTTCAAGGCCAATCTTGACGCCGGGGCGATACCACCGAGAGACCTCAAGGAGTATGAGGATTGGGAGGGAAAGCGTTGATCTTCTCCGGGCCAGACAGGGAGCAATAGGAAGCACGTTTTATTAGCCGCCTCGCGCCGGACCTCTTACAGGCTCCTCTCCTCATAATTAACAGCGTCTTATTTGTTCTGGTCCCATCTACTGAATGACCTGCCACCGCTCTGCGTATTTGAGTTGACCCGAAATCATGGCCGGTTGCTGTCTCGAACTAGAAGTCTTTTGAAGATTTACCAAACCCCAATTACGCCGGGTAACCCTAAATCATTGAGCCGGCCCACCACCATTCTTTCTGGTTATCCGATGATCAAAACCTCGGCGTCATGGGGGAGTCCAATGAGCACTCCACTGCCTCGCCGCAGCCATGACCGCCAGTAGGCTGCTTATGTCTCCGGTCTACATGGAAGGCATTCGCTTCTTCCCATTGTCTCTTGAGGAGCTCGACCTGCAGTTGTTGCCCGGCTTGGGCGCCGTCGTTCAACTTAAACATGTTGTCGGCAGCATCACAGTCGTCCTGGGGGAGCCGCGAGGATGGCGACGAGCACAACTCCGCCCGGCTACGGAAGAACCTTTCGAACCATACTTGCCAAAAACGCGTGTTCGAGGACACGCTCCCTTTAGTTGAGGAAGACGTTGTGGAATCCCGCAACAGACCGACCGCGGATGGATGGATGGATGGAATTTATTTCGCCCGGAGGCACTGGGCCTATAGGGCCTTAGCACGCTAACTACATCCGGATCAAATCGCTTTGCCTTTAACTCGTACAAGCCAGACCGACCGCGGGGAGAAGGGGTTCAAGGGTAAGTAAACAAAGGTCACGTGACGTAGGTTCCTGTTGGGGGATGACGAGCACGAAAGCGTGAGATGGACAGCTCTGAGGGAAGACATGCTGCAATGCACAGTGGCAAGACGAGGAAGCCTCTCGTTCTATCTGGGAGGGAAAGCGCCATCGGATACAAGGCATTGGTCACCAGATATGAAGGCAGTCCGGGCGACGATCAAATACGCAATGGCAACAGGAAGGCTGGAGCTGAATGAGGAGAACCTAGACCAGTCACAGTAGAAGAAGCCGACACTCAACACCACGAGTCTCAACCACGAGCCTTAACCAGCAGGTCCCGCTTTAGCTGCTGAAGATAGGACGCTGAACAGTTGGAGAAAGTAGACTCCAAGCTGATCTGCTAACAACAACCAAGGCAAGAGGTAAATGGTGCAGCGAGAAAGAGGGAAGAAGTAGGGGGCTTGTACGAGTTAAAGGCAAAACGATTTGATCCGAATGTAGTTAGCGTGCTAAGGCCCTATAGGCCCAGTGCCTCCGGGCGAAATAAATTCCATCCATCCATCCATTGGCTCTGCACAAGGCAAGAGGTAAATGGTGCAACGAGAAAGAGGGAAGAAGTAGGGGGGTTGTACGAGTTAAAGGCAACACGATTTGATCCGGATGTAGTTAGCGTGCTAAGGCCCTATAGACCCAGTGCCTCCGGGCGAAATAAATTCCATCCATCCATCCATCGGCTCTGCACTTCGTGAGATTGCAAAAATTGCTCGGAGAATTTTTAGGGCCATTCGTTGCGTGGATATTACCGCTCTCCTCAAGAATCCCGACTCAGATGAGTCCTTGTCTCCTACCCGGAAGCCACCATCGAGTACTGTACCAGCACTTGCAGCGTGACGGCACTTTCTAGACACCGTCGCGCAAATCCTCGCGCCGCTTGACGCTCGTCACATCTTGCTTCAGAGGGAGTATGTCCGCCCAACGTCAACCGCTCACGCACTCTTCCCAACCAACCTCCGTGTACTGACCCCCCGCTTTGATGACTTAGCCAGCCCGTTAATTTTCACTTCGATCTGACGCTCGCGTGCCTGTATTAGGATCTGCTACGTGTCAGTTTCAATGCGGCGGCCCGCCCCCGAAACCTTCACCTTGGCGTGCCTCGACTTTAACGAAACCATGCTGGAGAGAAAGCTCCACTTCAACCCACCGGGGAACCTTTGCCACACGGATAGGAAAGGATTACGCCGTTCTCACACCCTAGTAAAGCTCCATACCCCCAAGGATCCTCAAAAACATCCATTCTTGGTTGCTCTTGTCATCGCCCTCGCGCAAAAAGACTGCCGGCATATAGCACAACCACTACCGCCCGACTCCAGCTTCACCGTGCGTTTCTTCCTTCACTGTTTCGAGTCAAAGCCACTGACCAACCTTGGGGTTGCCTTCCAGGTTCGCATCCTGCCCACTGGGAAGGGACGGCCTAAGCCAATATCATTTGGCCGAGGAACTAGTCCGTAAATTCCGGTCGCCCATCCTTGATGACGGCGAACCGTTTCTTGGCTTCGAGGAGAGCTGGGCGGTGTCCGGTGAGGTTGTACCTGTCATTGCGAAGCCGGTGCAGGACCAGCTCCCCATCCGCTGTGGCTCCGGTCGCCACGTCATAGGCGGTTTTGCCAACAAACCGGCGCGATCCGTCTGAGACCTCGACCAAGTTCGTGGGGATATAGTGCTGCGTCTCGTGTTGGGGCGGGCAAGACTGGAGAAGGTGGCGGAGGAATGCAGACGCAATCCGGACAGTAGCGTGCTCCGGAACGTCGGCCGCGGCGCGACCTTGGCTAACATAGCCGGGGTCGGAGCCCTGGGACGCCTGCAGAGAGCCGCCCTCGCGCGACGGGCTGGAGGAGCCGACCCGCATTGTCGTGCTGTTGCGGTAGACTGGATTCACTACTTGTGTCCGAACTCGCTTGTGTGGGTGGGAGGAATCGGACCCTGGGCTGTACGGGCGTTTGTCGTCTTCGTCGGCGTCCTCGTTCAAGTCACCGCCCTCGATATCAAGACCCTGAACGTCGCCGAACTGGGCAAGGGCGGCCCAAAAGGACGCGAGACTTGCGCCGTACTGGTGGACAAACTCTGTCTCGGTCAGTGTGCCGTTGAGGTTGCCTCGCTGGGGCCCTCCAAGAGACCTCGGATGAGTGGTTGGCTGCAGGCGACTTCGGCTCCACCAAAATGCTCCCGCAGATCGGGCAGGACGTGGCCTGGCTCACTCTCAGACCGGGCGGTGGCGCTGCGAACCACGAGACGGGCGGCGCGGAGCCGGTCAGTTGACCAGCTGCTGGCCGCAGGCAAGGTTGCCACCTTGTTGATGTGTTCTGACGGCGGTAGAGGCCACCATGACAAGACCGAACGGTCGGTGACGGTGTCGAAGTAGGGCATCTTGGTTGGGCTAGGGTGGGTAAAATGAAGACGCGCGCGTAATGGACTGAGGCCAAGGATTGTTGCCTAGACTCTTTATGCCCCTGAGTTTCAGCATGAACATTATTTAAACACGGGCACACCTCGGAACACAGACTTCCGTCGCCACGGCCGCAGCCGCTTCCCGAACATTACAAGCGGGATGTCGAGGCCCGCCCCGGCCCGCCGTTAGAGAAGACGGAGACTGTGCAGCGGAGCGTCGCCGCTCCGGCCACCGCCACCACTAGCAGCACCCCGCGGCGCAGCGGCAGCAGGAATCTGACCGAATGGACCGGGGCGTGCGCGATTTATCGCGTCTGGTCGGCGCCTTCAACTGTCTAAGGTACTGGGACGGGAGATCGCTGGCGAGTCGATCTACGACGACCCCAACCAAATCCGCCTCTGGGATCCACTGGTAAAGCCGCCTCACCTGGCCTCCGTGAGGCCCAAGCGGAGGCGTACAGGAACGAAGCTGCTTGAGGAGGGCCTTCCTGACGCACTGGAGCCTCAGCCGGCCGGCAAGCGGAGCTAACCGTAGGATACCAAGTGCCGCCAAGAAGCGGAAGACGGTGGGGAATCACTTGGTGACTTTATTCAGACAACAATGATGTACTGTATCTTCCTTGTGTAACTGAACAATGATACGATTGTGTACAACGGTGGGTCAAGTGCAAGAAAAAAAAAAAGGAGAAAAAAACATAACACATTACTGAGGTTCAATTTGCGTGCGGTTCGACTGAGTTAGGGTGCCGCGAAGTGCTCGCTGTCGTTTTAGTGCATCAATCACTCTGCCCACAGGGCGTGCGCTTTTGCGCCTTTGCGCCTTTGAACCAATGCTACTACACAGTAGGCTCAAACCATGTGGAGGGGAGCATTGCTGCTCCAGCTGTGGACCTGACCCTCCGGTCGATCTCTCCTCCGAAGGCGCGTTGCGACAACGCGGGATGCTATGCCTGGTTTGCAGTGGCGGAGGCGACCAGCTTCGTGGCGTTGGGGGTTTCCGCACCCGGTCACGGCACCCGTCCGCGATCATTCCATCCCCGCAGTTCCATCAGCCAATAAAAACGAGGGATTGGGTCGGCCTCAGAGCGGCTGAGATCTTCCCTGTTTGAGCTAGCGCAAAACAGGTGTCTCTTGAGTTAACCTTACTAGGCTGCTCTCTGTTTCCCGAAAGGGATTGCATCGCATGCAAGCTGTCTGGCTGCGCTGCTCGCGCCGCACTCACCCGCTGGCTCCCCCCTCCCCCGCTCGCGCGAGCTTAAAGCGGCGAGTACGGAGCGTCAAACCCTCCTTACTCCCAAAACCCAATCGCCTCCAAAATTTTCACTCGGTTCACCCCACCAGTGCCAGAAGCCCCAACCAAACCCCGATTGCAAACTGAAAACCATTTCGCATGCAATTACGGCAACCAGATCATCTCCAGCCACATTACCCCGCCTCCCGCGCATGAAGATCCATTCCGTTCAATCATCCTTGATTGTACCGACGAGCTTGTCGCTAACAATGTCCTGCCCACCACCTCGCCCGCGACTTCGAGACCTGTAAGTTTTCAATTCTAGAAACCAAGTTTCTTGCTCGCTCATCAATCGCGGGTCAAGCAGACCATGGCTCCGAAGCCGATGTCATTCTTCACATACAAAGGGGTCGCATTGCCCAATCCTCCCGACCTTCTTAGCAACTGCGAGACAGACATTATGACGACAGCATGGATTGTCAACCAGCTCCGCCATTCTTTTTTCAAGGATTATCCTTTTTGATTTTCAATATTTAAACTTCATCGCCCACATATTTATTTCTTAAAATCTTACTCTATCTTTTTCCTTCTAAGACACATTTATTCAAGCTTGATTGCGTTCAATCACGCTTGATCGAACCACTCCTGCCCTACCCCACCAGATGTTGGGCCCCTTTTGCCCTGTTACCGGCAAACGCCACCCTGTACCCGGCTCCGCCAAGTTCACGGAGGCCTGCAAGAGATGCAAGACTACGCTCCTGCTCGACCTCGTTTCTGACGACGACTCGGATCATGGAATTTCAGCCAATTCTGCCCTACCCCCTGTTTCGCCTGTCGCTATACCTCCTGCCCAACCTAGCCAGTCTGTCCAGCCTACCCAGTCGACTCCTGATATTACAACTACGCCTCGTCCATCTCAAGCGGGGCAGGCACTTACTGGGTTTAACAAAGCTCACTCAACTGCTCTTGCCGAACGCAACTCTCCAAACCCAAACGTCCAGCCTGTTCAACCTTCTCCAGTTGTGATCTCAATTACACTGGAGGTCTTCGCTGCAGATGTGGATGTTGTGACCATCGGGGGGCAGGAGACTCGTCGATGGACTGAAGTTGGCTCAATCAGCTCTTGTCTTCCAGTCCAAGTAAGGAGGGTTTGACGCTCCGTAGGCGAGGCTCACCTGGCTCCACCCTGCTCACCCGACTCACCCGGAGCCATGCACGCAAGAGTAGCTTGATCCCAATTTCCCTGTTGCCGGCCTCGCCCGTGACGGCTGGTCAACAGAGGACGAAGCTACAGCAACTTGCTTCTGCGGCGCAGTCCAAACTCTGTTTTTGTGCGTACCATCAGCCCGACGAAATAGAAGTCCCCCTTTTCCCGAGCCAACCTGAACACAATGACAGAATACCCCCCTCCCGGAATCTCTCTTCCACCCCCCCAGCCCATCCAAGGCCCCGGCCTCATCAACTGACACGTCTGCCACTGCAGCGACTGCCGCAAGATCAGCAGTGGGCTGTACATGTCCAACATCACCGTTTCCGACACGCACCTGCGGCACGTGCGGGGGCGCGCCGAGCTCCAGACCTTCGCGCAGGCGACGACGGTGCGGTCCGGCGGGCTCATGACCAACTACTTTTGCGCCACGTGCGGCACGCTCATGTACCGCGTCGGGGAGAAGTTCCCGGGCCTATCCATCCTGCGCACGGGCACGGTGGATGATTTCTCGCAGGCGGAGACCAAGCTGCGGCCGCAGGTCGAGCAGTTTGTGGAGAATCGGGCCGCGTAGCAGAGGCCGATTGAGGGGGTGCCGCAGGTGGTGGGGATGAGTTCGGCGGCGGATATTGAGGGGGCAGTGTTGTGAGGGGGGATCTGAGCCTTTGCAGACTGGAGCCAAAGTATAGGTAGGTAGGTACTTTATAATTCCATTTGGAGATTGATTATCACAGCGGCATAATATACAACGTTGGTAAGCCCACAGCATATACACTGATACTTATGCCCGCTCAACATCAACCACGTGCTCCTTCACGGCAAGAAAGCTATCGGGGCTGACAGAAATTGAATTGATACCGGCCTCGACCAGGAACTTCGCGAAGGCCGGGTGGTCGCTCGGTGCTTGTCCGCAGATGCCTATCTTACGGCCCGCCTTGCGGACAACCGAGATGACGTGTGAAATCATCCACTTGACCGCTTCGTCCTGCTCGTTGAACAGATCGGCCAGCTCGCCAGAGTCGCGGTCGACGCCGAGGGTCAGCTGCGTCAGGTCGTTGGAGCCGATAGAGAAGCCGTCAAAGTGCTCGGCGAACTCGGCCGCCAGAATGACATTGGACGGGATCTCGCACATGACGTACATTTCCAGGCCGTCGTCGCCGCGCCTAAGCCCGTTCTCGGCCATGACCTCCAGCACCTTCTTTGCCTCGCCGACCGTCCGGCAAAAAGGTATCATGACGACTGCATTGGTGAAACCCATCACTTCGCGCAGATGCTTAATGGCGCGGCACTCGAGTGCGAAACCCTCCTTGTAGTGAGGCGAGTAGTAGCGCGACGCGCCGCGGAAGCCGAGCATGGGATTGTCCTCCTTTGGCTCGAACTCGGCGCCACCGATGAGGCCGGCGTATTCGTTCGTCTTGAAGTCGCTCATGCGGAGGATGGCCGGCATGGGATAGACGGTGGCGCAAAGGGCTGCGAACCCGCGCGACAGCTTGTCGACGAAGTAGTCCGGCTTATGATCGTATCCAGTCGTCAGTCGGGCGATCTCCTGCTTGGCCCTCTTCATCCTTCACTCTGTTCAAATGGAACAAGAGCCATGGGATGGACCTGAATGGCGTTGGTGACGACAAACTCCATGCGGGCGAGGCCGATCCCGTCGGCTGGAAGCCGCCACCAGCGATAGGCCGCCGCAGGGTTAGCCAGGTTGAGCATGATGTTCGTCCGCACCGGCGGCAGCCGGGGCCAGATCCACCGTCTTGGTAGTAATGTCGGAGATACCCTCGTAGACGAAGCTCGATGTCGCCCTCGGCGCAAGAGACGGTGACATCCTGGCCCGTGTGCAGCATGTAAGTGTCCTCGGTTGTACCCACGACAGCCGGGAGGTCAACTCGCGGCTGACGATGGCGGCGTGAGATGTACGGCCGCCATGGTCGGTGATTATGG